CCGCATGGCCCGCGGGGAGTGCGGCGGCAGCGCCGCTCCTCGCTCGAGCGGCGGCGGCGGCGGCGGAGGGGGGAGAACGGCGGCGGCGGCGGGGATGGGGGTGCCGCGCGGCGCGGGTTGGGCGGCGGAAGGCGGCGGTGATGGCGGGGCCCGCGGCCCCGGAGCGCCACCGCTGCGCTGAGCCCCCGGGCCTGCCGCGAGGAAGAGGAGGAGGAGGAGGAGGAGGTGGAGGAGGAGGAGGAAGGACCCGATGGCGAACAGCAGCGAGCTGGGGAGCAGCAGCAGCCCGCACCTGCCCAGCGCCGGCGGCCTGCTGAGCGCCTCCGGGCTGAAGCTGGCCACACTGGGGCTGATCCTCTGCGTGAGCCTGGCAGGCAACGTGCTCTTCGCTTGGCTCATCCTCAAGGACCGACACCTGCACCGTGCCCCATACTACCTGCTGCTGGACCTCTGCTTGGCTGATGGGCTCCGCTCGCTGGCCTGCTTCCCCTTCGTCATGCTGTCGGTGCGCAGCGGGGCCGCCTGGCCCCACGGGCTGCTCAGCTGCAAGGTGCTGGCCTTCCTGGCTGTGCTCTTCTGCTTCCACGCCGCCTTCCTGCTCTTCTGCGTGGGGGTCACGCGCTACATGGCCATCGCCCACCACCGCTTCTATGCCAAGCGCATGACGGGCTGGACCTGCCTGGCCGTGGTGTGCATGGTGTGGACTCTCTCCATGGCCATGGCCTTCCCTCCCGTCTTCGATGTGGGCACCTACAAGTTCATCCGGGAGGAGGAGCAGTGCATCTTTGAGCACCGCTACGTCAAGGCCAACGACACACTGGGCTTCATGCTCATGCTGGCGGCCGTCATCGCCGCCACCCACCTGGTCTACATCAAGCTGCTCTTCTTCATCCACGGCCACCGCAAAATGAAGCCGGCCCAGCTGGTCCCAGCCATCAGCCAGAACTGGACCTTCCATGGGCCGGGGGCCACGGGCCAGGCGGCGGCCAACTGGACGGCTGGCTTTGGTAGGGGACCCACGCCGCCCACCCTGGTGGGCATCAGGCAGGCCACCCATAGCCAGATCAAGAGGCTGCTGGTGCTGGAGGAGTTTAAGATGGAGAAAAGGCTCTGCAAGATGTTCTACATGATCACCTTGCTTTTCCTGCTCCTCTGGTCCCCCTACATTGTGGCCTGCTACCTGCGGGTCTTCATTAAGGCCAGCTCCATCCCCCAGGTGTACCTGACCACCTCTGTCTGGATGACATTTGCCCAGGCTGGGGTCAACCCCATCCTTTGCTTCATCTTCAACAAGGAGCTCAGGGTCTGCCTCCGAGCCCACTTCCCGTGCTGCCAAAGCATCCAGAGCACCCAGGGCACCATCCTGTGCGATCTCAAGAGCTTTGGGATGTAGGGGGGCTTCCTCAGCCTACAAAAAAGAAAGATGGATACCATTTTCCATGTTTCTGCATATGATCTCAAGAAAGTGTGACCCGTGGGGGATGTACTGAGCCACCACCCGGCACCTAAACCTTAGGCTGTAAGAAGCTGTTTTATTTATTTTTCTATACTCTGCGTGTGCTCTCCAGAACATAACAGGTTGCTGTTTATGGAAACAGGTACTTGAGCAGAACACCCCCAAACCTTAGGCTGTACGAAGCTGTTTCTCTTTGTGATTATGTGGTTTTTAACAACAAAACAGGGCTCCAAGTTTCTGGTCTTGCTTCTAATGTTTCTAGACGTGATTCCAACAGATACGGATTAAGGCCATGACGTTTTCTTTTTTTTTTTTTTTTCCTATTCCTGTCTGTTTTGATAAAGGCTTAACAATTTTACTCATGTAATATTTGATAAAAGCCAAGACAATTTTATACTAAAGTTATTTTTGATGACCTCAAGAGGTGTTGTTTTCTTATCATTTGATTTCAGTGAAGAACAAGAAGAGGACGTTCCTGGTGTGCTTTAGTGGAAGTCGGTTTTTGGTGGGAGCTGTGGGTTCATTCATTCTCAAATGGTTTGAGTATTTGAAGCAGTTACTTATAACTTTTGCCTGACATGCAAACAGTGTAGAACTAATTTCGATTTTCTCGTTGCACTATTTATTTGGTAATATTTCGGAACTATTTGTGAAATGTGATTTTAAAATACCAACTTTAAAACTAATCAACTATAGCAGTTTTTAAAAACCTAGATTGAAATTCATATTTTACTGCCTTTATAGGAAGTTATCTACAAACCTGGGTAACACTTGTACATTTTGACTGTTTTCTTTAATAAAATCTTGAAAACCTTGACTGTATGTAATTGTCTCAGAATGACAGCATTCTGCTTTGCTGACAAATAGCTTGTGTATCTGGAAGGTTGTATGTCTTGTGTCTGAGTAGATTTCACAGCCGGGGTCATTATGGACAAGCACAATCCTTACTTGCTGTTAGATCTCAATTTAGGTGTTTTTACCAATAAAAATGACTGATGCTATTTTTAAGGAGACTTAAGTTCATAATGGGCAACAGGTTTATGTAGCGCAATGGTAGAGCAGATGACTGTGAGGATCACTGATTTGAGTTGGAGAAGCAGTTCCTTAACATGACGGCTTGGGTAACACTGGTCTCAAACTGCATTCTTAATGGATAACTTAAACTTACTCAGCACAGCACATCCTAACTTGTTTCATTTAGAAAAACTTCTTTGGAAGTGCTGCAGCTGGCAGCACGATGGCAGGATCCTGATGTGACTCAGAGGAAGCTGTGCCCGATGCGCTGCTTTCAGGTGCGTTGTGCAGCGTTTAGCAAACATCAGTCAGCGCCGCGCTGCTGCCTGTCACACAATGACAGCAACAAGCTCCCTTTCCATAAAGAAATCATGCCTGAGCTGGAAGCAGCTCTGCAGTCAGAGGCTGTTAGCCATCAGCTGAGCAACGGCTGTAGTGTGGCTGTTAAGGACCGTGCTCCTGGGTAGGGTAGAACAAAGCAGGACTATTGCTTCCAGATCTGTTAGTGAAAATGCATCTGGGTACAGCAGGAACCCTGTCAGAACTTCAGGTGGTGGCAGAAGCTGGCTATCAGCACAGCTCATGTTTTCATCCTCAAGTGCCAGATTGTGGCTTAGTAAACCTGGATGAGTAATCCAGGTAGAGCTGTTATGAAGAGGAATGTGCAACGCATTGATGCTGTTACTAGTAATTGCATTCCAAATGTCCTTTGTGTGCCTGCTTTACTGTTAAGCTCTTTTTTACGGGATCCCAAATTGTTCAGAATCATCTCCTTAAAGTTCAAAAAATCTCTTGTGCAGATAAAATATCTTTCTGGGGCCTAGAACTGTGATCTCCAACTGAAGTCCTGTGTTCTCATGCAGCCCAATTAAGGAACAGCCCATGTTTCCTCACTTATGCTATTAAAAGTGTCAGATATTTTGGCATCCCAGCTATAAGTAGTGTGCTTATGATTCTATTTAAACCCCAGAGATAGGAGAGCTGTTATTTTAAAACAGCCCTAAAAGCTGCAAGGACCACATTTTTCTCTTCCAGGAGAATTAAGCACAGGTTGTGTAGTTGGTTGGATATACAGGGGGTGATGAATTGCCCTTAGGGGGGTTGGTCTGTTTGCTGTCTGCTGGATGGAACCGCCGCCTTGCTGTCACCACTGGTGGCAACCAGACCCATGGCAAAAAGATACAGAGAGATGTAGAATGGGTATCTCTACCATACCTTTTGCTTGCACAGAGACCTGTCAGGACTTCCCTTAGGACAGAATTGGTGCCTTTAAAAGTTAGTTTGGTACCTGAGGTCCTTCTAATACCAGGCTGATGATGATCCTAGCTTCACCAGCACAAGGGAGAAGGAACTCCAGTAGCTTTAATTCAGGCTTTAGATGGGTCTTGAACAATAGAGCTTCATTCCAGAGGGGGGGAGGGCGGTGAAACTATGTATAAAAGGACAGATAGGTGGCAGAAAATGTAGCAGTGTTCAGTGACCAGCACTACAAGTCTAGCCTGGGGCTGAGCATGCCAAGGAAATGTGCAGGCCAGAAAGGGCTGGGGGAGCACCAGGGGATGAGTATTCCTTCTGGAATCTGAGAACAGATAAGGAAGTTTCAAAAAACAAACAAAAACAACCAAGCTGAGCATCATCAAGGCACAGCATTAACACATTCTCACAGTATCCCTCAGTCTGGATATGGGGAAAGTGGGTCACAGGGATTAACTGCTTTGGCCATGCTTAGAGAAGGGGACTCAGAGGATGAAACCTGCTGTGAAGTGGAGGAATAAAGCAAGGAGAATGGGCTGAGGCCTGGAAGTCTTCTCCGGTGCTGGTAGGACCCCTGAGGAGCAGCTGTGAGCTCTGTGCCCTCAGCTGCCCATTGAACACCACTGCTCTGCTCTGCCTCAAAGTGCTAATGGACGGAGCTCAGCAGGAGCTGAGTGCAATAATTACCTCCTGCGGCCACACGGGAAGCTATTGCAGCTCGTTGTGCAAGTGCTGGGCTCACGTGCAAAAACTCAGATGCTTTGAACCCGTTCCCATCCCCTCTAACCGCAATGCAAATCTATGGTGAGCTCAGTGGGCTGCATGGCAGCAGGGCACTCACCTCTCCCACCTACCTGTGCTCAGTCAACATGCAGATCAAACCCTTTCCACAACAGGACATTTGTGATGGTTTCATATTCTCTGGGCAACAGGAGTCGGCATCACGTGAAATGCCATCATCATCCCCCTGGAGACTCTCCACTGTCTGGCTCAGAGCTCACAGCACGCTTGCTTTTGCATGGCTGTGGTAAAGAGTTGCAGTTGCTGTGGCAGCTGTGCTGCACTGGGAAATCCTACTGCTGCTGGCATCTTCCCTCACTCCCCAGATATTTAACACATTCCTTGCAAGCGTTCCCAGCAGAAATCTTGCTATGCTGTGTCAGCGGAGGTTTTAGCACGAATTTCTATATCAGGGCAGCGTGAAAAGTGACACTGATCTGAAATCTCAGCAAGTACTGCCTTATGGGCATCTCTGCTTCGCAGCACTCAGAGCCTGTGAATACTGCAGGGTGCCTCTGTTGTTCAGCTTTGGAAAGTTTGCTGGGAAGAGCCGAAATATTTAATTCTTGCGTATTACATTGATGTGTGAAGGTCTCACATTTGGTGGTGGAGGTGAGCAGGGGACATGTAGCCCGTGGGCTCTTGCTGTTTGCTCTGACAGCGCCAAGTCTGCACCAGGGAAGACAAAACTGCCTCCCAGAACAGCGTGAAGTCAGTTGCCTTGAGGAAAAGGGCAGGAATTTGGCTTATTCCTATAGCAGAAATTCTTCCCTGGGGCTCTACCTGGCTGTGATACAGCTCCACCTCCGGCAGGCTGCTCTGCCATATGCTGCAGGACTGCCCCAGGACACACCGAGCTCAGCTCAGAGCTGGCACTGTCCCTCCTTTCCAAGCAAAGGATGCTCAGCATTGGGCTGGATCTCTGCCACCTGCCCACATGGTTACAAACAGTTACGTTTCCCATTGCGGTGCTGATATTTGCTCAGAGTTGCCTGCAAAGCACCCAGCAGAGCAGTGGCTCGGGCAGCGATACACACCTACAGGCAGAACACGATGCCAGGTGGCTCAAGGCACTCATCAACTTATGCTGCAGAGGAGGGATTCTGTGACATCAGAATATCCCAGAAACCATACAACATAGCTGTATCTCAAACCAAAGTGAGATAATAAACACAGCAAGGGGGCTGTTTTCTAATAGATCTCTCCTATGATCCCCCCCCCTACGATTTTTAGGGCAGCTTCTTTCATAGTTGCTCAAGAACTGCAAAGGCTACAATCAGCCATTGCAATAGGAACCAGGAAGCATCTCCTATGCTGGGTGTTGGTACACCCAGGAGTATCATAACATACACAGCAACCACAGCAGCGGAGCCATCAAAGAGAAACCATCTCTGAAGGAGTTCTCCTAAAAGCTGGCATAGAATGCCGGGATGGGGCTGATAGAAGCCTTGCCCCAACACCTTCCCATGCTGGTGCTCTCGATCAATGCTATGTCATTGATCTTCACTCACCCATTAACTGTAGAGTTGGTGACTGAGGGCTGAATTTTCAGTGGGCCTTTTGCACCACTCTGCCTTTCCCTAGAGCTGATGCTGAACATCCCTGAGCCCATTTTCACTTGGCCATGTCACTGGCTGCTCCAAGCCTTGGTGTTATATCTGAAAAAATGATTAATTATTCTGGCTCACCTTCGTAAAGCCCAGAACCACTGAAGGCCAGAGCAAACCTTTATCACAGGCAAACAATCGCTGACTATAGAAGCTTTCATCACTCAGCTTTAAAGTCAAGCTAAGCCTTTAATGCGAGCTGTTGCATTTCTGTATTTCTATTCATGTTTAATGACCTCAACACTTGCACTGTGCCTTTGATCTCATGAGTCATACATGGTCTGACTGTGGATGCATTTATTGGAAGGCCACTTTCTTCAACACTGTGTTTTTTGCCTCTGCTATGACCAGGTTGATGCCACAGAGCACTTTGAGTAGGAGGCTTTCAAGTTCAAAGCGAGTCTTGCAAGGACACAGGGAACTGTGAAGTCCTGGCTAATTTTAGGCACTCATCAGTGCTGATAGAGTAGGCAGCAATCAGGCGATCACCCAGGGAAGAGACACCCCTCCTAAAGCATTATTTACTGGTGTGCCATTAAAAAATGCAGTCCTATGTTTGTGGAAGGATGATTAATCATTGGAACAAGTCATCCAGGGAAGGAAGGGTGCTCCATCTGTGAGCAGCGGCAGCCCATGTGCCCACCCACAGCCAGCAGCCACACTGTGCCCAGGGTTCTGCCTAAGTGCCTGGGGTGGCAAAAACCAGGAGCACTTGTACACAGCACCACATCCCGTCTGTCTGAAAGCAGTGTGTTCCTTTCTTTCACTGCCTGACAATACCCATTATCACTCCTTACCCATTATCACTCCTTACAAACACCAGTGCAGCTCTCAGAAAATTCAGCAGAGATAAGAGCCAAAAGGGCTTTGCCGTTTAAAAAAATATCCAGAAGGGGGAAACACAGGCAGAATTAGAAGCGGAGCAGAAGTCTGGGTGCTTTCTGACAGTGAGAGAAAGAGGGATGATTTAGTGAAATACAACCTCCCTCCATCAAACCTCTCAATCTGCTCCCATCTGTCACCGGGGAGCTGAAGGAGGCAGTGAGCAACCCGGTAGCTGGGTGAATCAGTGGGGCCCTCCTGCTTGCTCCCCTCCATGGGCC